CCCCCCCCCCAAAAAAAAAAAGAAGGCCTAAAAATACAACTAGAAGGATCAATAAACCCAATATTTAACACCCTTAAAGGATCACAACTCTCTTGTTTTAACACCCTTAAAGGAGGGGACTTTGAGCCAACAACATCCTTGTCGACATATACTCAAAAACTATTAGATGCACTCATAAGTATAGAGTCAGCAGAACACTGTAGAACTGTAAAGGGCAGCCCGGTATATAAAGCATCACACGTTCACACTAGGTCCTGGGAGGGCCGCACCTCAAAGGGGTGTGGTGTAGGCAACCTACCCTGATGCAAGCCTCAGTGTCTGATTCCACGGCTCGAACCCTCGAACCCGTAACCTAGGTCACATGGAGACAACCGTTGCTCCAAGGCTCCCACTTCAACACTATAGAACAGTGAAAAAATAGTAATACCTGTCCGCTGCCCTCCGCATCTTCATCATGTACCTCCGATTTTGACCTCTCAGATTCTTCTTCTTCGCCATCATCGTCTGAGCTTTCCGGCTAATTCAATTGATGAAGTTAGAACAAGGAAGCTCCCTTTTCTAAATTTATAATGTTGACTGATATTGTGAAAAGATCAGATGAATCTTGAAAATAAAACAAGTTACAGGAAGCTAACCTGCTTGTTGTTGTAAGCATTCATGAGCTTTTCATACTCAGACTTCCTTTTTGCTGCTTTGGCTTCATATGGTGCTTTTTCCTTTCAACACGTAAAACCAGCCTTATAAGGTACCTCATTACAGTAAATATGTAAATATTGTCCCTTAAAAAGAGAGTGCGAAGAATCCATCCTTATGGTAAAACTAAATGCTAATATTTCTCACCAAGTAAATGTCAATGAGAAGCTGAAAGAAGTTTTCAACCCTTTAAACTGTATAACAACATAACAGTATGACATGTATGAAGTGGTCATTGCGCCAAGTTCGCTGCTTGAATCACTAATATTGGGAAATACATTGAATTACTTACAGCTGCGCTCATAGATTTCCACTTCTCCCCTCCAGCTTTCCCGACCTTCATTTATGACATTAAACCAAGAAGAAATCAGTTGTGCTCAGAACCAACTATTAAAGGAGGCAATGCTTATGAAATAACACCATCAAAAGCTTACAGCTGATACAGCCTTCACATTAGGATTTTCCTTTTTAAACGTCTTCCTGAATTCTTCACTGCAGTGGCATACATGATCATTTGTTGGTTACATCACGCAACTATAGATATGCCACTGAATCTAGAATTTATTATGAAAAACGAAGCCTACAGAAATACGAAGAAGGCGCTGGGAGGCCTCTTAGGCTTATTAGGATCTTTCTTGGCCTTTTTGTCCTTCTTGGCCTTCCGTTTATCGTCCTTCAACGTAGCCTTTCTCTTCCCCATCTTTCTGAAAACAAGAGAGACAGACATGATCCATCACTAATTGATCACTGTGCCAACACGGAACATCAAAACCAAAATCACAGAAACTTCATTCCCGAAAGGTCGTAGCATCAGCTACAATTGCAGAAAGGTCTATGCAACATCAAGTTACCAACACCGGAAATACTTGCATATAAAGCCAGAATCACAAAATTTAAAACGCTACTCACCGGTCCTCAACAGGCTTCAGTGCAGACCTTGTTTCTTTTCTCAACGCCCCTTTTCCTTTTCCACCCTTCATTGTAACTTAGAACTGCCTAATCAAAACAAGCGGCCTATGTTAAAACCCCATAGCTGTGACATTTTATCAATGAACAATATGATACATAACAACATGAATAATGCACATTGAACACTCAAAGCATTCCAAAATACCAAAAGAATTTAAGGGAAACACAACACAACAATTATTTGTCCTACTCTCCAACTCTCCGTTTAGATGGCCGCAAAAGTATTGATTCTTTACCCTAAAGTATATTTTTTTCTAATAATTACCTAAAGTCTGACCTTTTCTCCCCATGGAAATGCTATATCCAGTCCCAAAACCTTAACAAAGAAGTATTCGAATAATTTGAAATAACTTAAGTCTCTATGTTATATCTCCCTGCATGATCTCACAATATCAATTTAAATGAACAAAAGCAAGTAAAACCAAAACTACTGCAACAGATATACCAATAGGAAGACACGACTCAGAAAGAGATAAAGTCAAAGTTCGGAGTAATAGAGTCAAAGTCGTTAATTTTCTTTGTGATCTCAGTCATAGATCCTTCAAATTTTGGAATTAAATTTAGATATTTGAAAATTACATAAAAGTACTACTCCATAAGTCTTCTACAAATGGAAAAACAATAAAAAAAATTATCAGCTAGATTTCATATACATCCAAGTCAACGAAAAAAAATCCACCATTTGTACAACAAATAAACCTTCCTAAGAAGACCAAATCAGCAAAATTCATTTCTTTTGCTCAATAAGAAAACAGAAACAAAAAAAAAAAAAAAACACTTTAACCCAAGTATGTACTTACTTCTGGGAAACCAATTTTACTCTTGAAACCAATTATTGTGTTTAGGTAATTGAATAAGTGTACTAATTTTTCTCAATAAGAAAAATACAAGAACTGTGAATCTACAGCAACAAGTATTAATATGAAGAGAAAAAAGAATAGAGAAGAGGCAATACCAGGAAGATAAAAATTGTTGGGCAGAAGGGAAAGTGGAGAAAAACAGAGCAAAAGCCAAAAGAGAAGTAACAGAAGAATCAAGCTACTACTTTAGTACACGACCGAATAACAAAAAGTAAACTCCATTTCACTGACAAACCTTATTTTACATTTTTATTTTTAAATACTTTTAGAGTATATGTTTTATGCCCAGTTTTAAAAATAAACATTTTCAGCCTGTAAAAAGCAGCTGCAGGTAATTCTCTAACAAATAATTAGTAATCTTAAAAATAAAATCAACTAAAATGTACCGATAATGCAAGAATTTTTTTACATTATCAATATATATATAACTTAAATTTAGATTTCTACCATATTCATTAATACATATGATTTTATACATTCTATCTTAAGTAACACACGTATTTCTATATAACTTAATGCAAGTTATAATAAATTAAACGTGGCATCCATGATATAGGAATTTATTTATTTTTCCTTTTACCACCGATCAAAATTAATTTATTACACAAAAATTATTTTTCTTAATATCTGTAATCAAATACTGTATTTATTTTATGCAAATTTTGTGATTCCCTATCCTAATCCTTCAACTTGATTCACGGTATTGGACTCATTATATGGTAAATAATAGTAGTAAACAACTTCTTAAAGCAGTAGATAATAATGCATGAATTGTTATGTAACACTATTACATGTAATTTCATTCTATCATGTTATAGGAATATTCTTTTCTTTTTTTTTATGAAACATTACGCAAATTAATTTTTGATTATGCAGATATTAGTTGTTCAAAAGTTTATATCAGAAGTAAATGTTTAATTAGGAATGCAAAAAATGCAGAATTTACATTGCAATTTGCAAACCAAATAATATAATGAAAAAATTTCGAATTTGAATCCTAGAAATGAAAAGAATTCTAGCAAAAAATGCTTTTCCTTTTGAATTTTATGTGGCACGATATTGATCTGCTTTAAAACAAATACCGAACCTCAAACGAAAATTAGAATAAAGAAATCAATTGGGGAGAAAGCATGGCACTTGGACTAGCAAACTAGGTAGTAGTAGCATGCAGGCAAGGACAATCGAAATATTGCGTGGCATTTTTGAAAGATAAACACGTGGAGGACATCAGATATTTCAACGATATAGGCGTTTGGACATGAGAATTGTAAAATTCGAATGAAATTTTTTTTTGAAGTGAAAATGGTATTTGAAATTTAAAGTTGTGTTTGGACATAAATTTTAGTTTGGGTTGTTTTTGAAGTTTTATGAGTGATTTGAGTGAAAATTTAAAAAATAACTTGTTTAAAATTTAGCTTTAATTAATAATTATAGATTTTTTTTATAGAATGGCGTGCATAACTTTCATATAGAGGGAATAATTATTGGCTGAAAGTGAATAAATGTAGGTGGTTTATTATTGAAGAAACGAATATCAAACTGTGTATGGTAAGGTAGTTATTAGTAGTAATTTATAACTTTTTTTTAACTTGAAATCATCTATATTGTCTAGCTTATTGAGGCATGGTATACTATGTCTTAAGAGAGTTACTAGTTAAGAGTTACTTTCATAATTTAAATCGTAATATTAAGAGCTTGAAATATTTAGCGTTTGTATACTCTCTATTAATTATGCAAATAAAAACAGTATAATTAAATTCCTCTAGTAGTTGTATATTTTATTTTATTTTTGGAAATAAAGAGTTTTATCAGCTCTTTTTTCTGTATCTTAGAGCAACTCCAACCTTGTCCCCAAAATGGAGATTTCCCTATTTTTGGGGACAAAAATTGAAAAATTTCACTCCAACCCTCCCCCATTTTTGTCCCCGAAATGGGGGTGAATAGTGTCTCCCCAAATTTGGGGACAAACTATTCATCTCCTCATTTACTATTCCCCATTAAAATATTATTATTTTTATTATTTAATCTTTGAATTTATCTTTTTATATATACTTAATTATGTTTATATAATATATTTACCTAATTAATTTTTCATCTTAACTTTGACGTATAATTTTAAAAAATTAATTATCGTGCATCTATTTTTTTATGTAAAATTGGTAGTTAATTTTATTATGAGTTATCATTGTATGAAAAAGATATAACCATCACAAAAAAATAAAAGGTGCAAATATAAAATATGACTTCACTTTTATTTGAATTATTAGTTAATCTATAATAATTGCTTACAAATTATATTATTTAAAATTTTATGAAATTGTTTTAATAGTAATTACAAATTAATAAAAATAAAAGATGGAATTTGTTTAATAGAAATTAAAAAATAAAATTAAAATGAAAGATAATAATATAATATAGAAGAGAGAAAAAAATATAAAAAAAATATTCTCTTTTGGAGAAAAAAATGGAAAAATAGTTGGAATAAGTTATCTTCAAATTGAAGAAATCCCCATTTTGGGTTTGGTCCCAAAATGGGGGTAAAGGTTGGAGATGAAAGTCTTAAGTATTTGAGATAAATAAAAGGTAGGGCAATGAGTGCCTAAGAAAAACTTTTTGTTGCTGCCCATTACCGAAGGATATTATTATTATTATTCGCATTTCATGATAGAATGAGAATCTTATGAAACGTCTGGTTATTGTTATAATAGTAACTATATTAATGAAGTCCCTTGTGATTGCTTTTGGAGAAAAATAACAACAACAACCCACTAAAATCTCACTAGTAAAGTATGTGGAGGGTAATATGTACGCAGACCTTACCCCTACCCCAAAAAAGTAAAGAGATTGTTTTCGAAAGACTATCGACTCAAAAAAACGAAAAGAGACAATATTATAATCAGAGGCGACTTAACCCCTAAGGTACTAAAGCGATCGCTTTAAGCCTCACAAAATTAGAGGCCCCAAAATCTACTCTTCTTATATGTAATTTAAATATTTATTGTACTTATTATTACGTAGTGATAAGAAATTTTTTAACCATCTATTGCTACATTGTCATTAATCGTTAATCTCATAGTATTATATTTATGTTGTCTTTTTTCAAATTTGGTTCAGAAAATTCAAATGAAAGTGAAAAATAATTAAATCTGTAGTTACTTTCTAGTTTTTCTTATTTAAACTTGAACAAATTTTATTTACAACTCTAACTTTGTAAGATATTTTCTTCAAGGTCTCTTTAGGTATGCTTCAAGCTAATTAGATGGTGAAAAGCTATAGCTGATTTGTTTATCATCTTTGTAAATACAAATTCACACATAATTATTATTTTGGAAGGTAATGCTATATAGTGAGTTATGTTAACGCTCATGTGGAAAAAAAATCAAAATTAAATTTAATAAAATCTTATCAAAGGTTAGTAATGTTTCAACAAAGATTAAATGGGTTGGTTACATCGTCGAGATTAAATTGCATCTCAAAAAATAAAAAGAATAAACTTCACCAAAAATGTCTAAAATTATTAAACAAGTTTAAGGCCTTTTATTATGGCTTGACTCTAGGCCTCCAACTGTCCAACACCATTGAGCCGTATCTGTTATAGTATACATGTTATTGCTATATTTTTTAGGTTAATCATATCAGGCTGAGAGTAACATATTATTGTAGGTCAACTTAACTTGATAGCATAAAAAAATTACAGTAGAAATGCACATAGCATAAAAACACATTTGCTGAAACAAATTTCGTAGGTGTTGTCCACCATAAAAGATATGAGCGAGAGTAACAATGGGGTTCTTCAATAATGTTGGAATTTTATATGATAGTTATTCGATAGTGTTTGATTTACAAGGAATAAAGGTTTTCAAGCCACCTTTTGAAATAAGTAATTGAAATAATGTGTACTGGAATGCAAGTCTTCAACCATCTCGTCTATACATTCTTGGATAAAGCTTGTTGAGAAAATCATTTTTCTTTAATAGATGAAGTAGAATAAATTCCTATTAGTTCGAAATGCAATTATCGACATACTTTTGTAACACATCCCTGTTTAGTGAACCATTTCATAAACATCCTATGAGGCGGGTGGACATTCGGTATTTCAGTTCGGTATTTAAGAATTTCGATTCGGTATTTCGGTATTCGATTTATCAATTGTGTATACCAAATACCGTACCAAAATATTTCGGTACGGTTCGGTATTTCTTATTTTGGTTCGGTACGGTTCGGTTTAAACCAAATTTTCACTATCTCCCTCACTCCATTAACTAATAGGAAGAAAACAACTGAAATATCTTGGTTTTTTCTTCTGCCATGGATCAACCAATTCTCCACAATCTATTCCTAATTTCTCGCATGAATGACTTCCACCAAACGTAGTTTTTGGTATATTACAAATTTAATTAGCAATATTTAATATTATAAAAAGTATAATAATGAAATAATTTCATTTTATATTTATGGAATAATGATAGTATATTGCATATTTAATTATATAAATGGTATAAGATACATACATACTTAGAAATAAATATTTACAGAATAATATCGATATAAATATTATGTATTCAGAATTCCGCCAAAATATTGATATAAAAATTCTGGAGTGTATTATATGTTATAATTCAGTTTGTGGTATATTTATCGTATAAATATTACTATATGTTTGGACTATGTTATATAGTTGTATGAATTTCACTTTGTATAATATAGTACTATTATATACAACATATATAAATGACATAATGTACATATATAAACAGGTATGTTCCATATAGTGATAGATATATACGTATAATATATCTAACATAAACCATCAAAATCCTACAGAATAATGGAACGCATGAAACACCATAGGATGCATTTCAATGTTGGATATTGCCGGATCAAGGAAGTATGTCAAAAGTTCTTTAAGATGGTAGAGAATGTCCCATGATTTATGCATCTTGTCTGGTCATTAATTATTTGCTTAATCTTTATAATATGCCATTAGTGTAAAAAAAATCTTTCATTTATGTAATAAATAAAAAATATTATTATTTTCTTAAATAATTTTTAAAAAGTGCTCACCCATGTCGATTCCTCTTTGGAATTTGGGGTGTGGGCTTAAGGTTATTGGGCTAAAAATTAAAAACAAAGTTGGGCTTGGACTAAACTATTTCGGTATACCGAAATATCAAAAACTCAATACCGTATACCGTATACCGAACCGAATTACCGAA